CAGAGTTGAAGTTGAAATGGTGAGGAGAAACCCTGTCACTGTTTTACAGTTTTATTGGTTTCCTACAATCCCTGACATTTACAGTTTAATTGGCCTCCTGCTCTGTTCCTTAAATGGAAGCTTAATCCTTCCTCAGAGCCTTTATATTTGCTTTTAATGATTCTGATATCATCTTTTAGAGAGTTCCTTCACATTCCCATGAAATTCAGTTTTCTGCCCCCCCCACCAGTCTCCAGCTTATCATTTCCACTCACCTCCCTGTGTTTTGTTTTCATGTTATGATCTTGGCTTTCCTTCAACCTTTACTTGCTTGTCGATTGTCTTCTCTGTAGAATGTAAGGTCTAAGAGATAAAGCTCCTGCCTCTTCATCACCACCTTAGACCAATGCATGGCATAAAATAGGTGCTCAATAAAATTGTGCCAAGTGAAAAAAAAGTGATGAAGGTAAACATATATGAATAAATTAATAACAACCAATGTTAAGCACATGCACAATAGGATTACATTGAGATAATCACTGACTTTGCAGAAAGCTATTGATACTATATGCCTACTAACTAAAGAATTCTCTTAAAGTTGCCCTAAAGAGAAAGCTGCACTTAACTTCTCCCAATTCTTCATAGAAGAGGAGAAAATGCACTTTGTTATTTGTTTAATTTGCTGTCTGAAAATTCGCCTTGAAATTCATTATGGTGGAGGGATGGGTACTCGATTATTGTATAACTGAAGCCCAAGCACAAAAATTTGTCAGTCTACAACTGTACCTCATGGTGTTTCACTAATACAAATTAAAAATAAATGAAATGCATCAAAAGATAGGTAGAATGATAGCTATGTAATGAAACAAGTATTTGGGGTCAGATGTATAGGGGTTTAGGCACTTCCTTGCTTGCTTGCAGTTAACTCTGATATGATCCCTGGTACCATGCATGGTTCATCTCCTGAGCACTTCTAGGAGTGACCCTGAGCATTGAGCCAAGAGCAGCCACTGAGCATCACCAGGTATGGTTCAAACTCAAGTAAATAAAAAGAAATTGAAGAAGTTTATGATAGTGCTAATGTATAAATTTAGATAAAGACTATCACAGTTGTTTAAAATGTACAGCATTGCTGTGTTTTATTAAAACTGTCCTAAGCAATGTTGATAAAAGAAAAGTTTCCGTAAACTCTTGACCTGATACAGGTTTTAAAGTTCAATCTATTATATTTTCTGCATTTTGAGGGTTGCTGGTTAGCAGGAAAATTCCCAAGAAAGTTCTTTATAAAATTTTAATATAATATCTAGTAAGCAACAAATGGCGTACTTCTGTTTTTGGTATTGTTTCTAAAGACAAGCCTGTGCACTCAACTGGCTAACTAGGAGTTAGATAATGAATACAATTCCTGATTTTCTTCTTCTTCTCCAGTCTGAGATCTGGATGTGGGTACCAGGAAACTTATTATAGTCAGGAAGGGAAGATGACGCCTGGGTGTTGCTTGTTGCAACAAGACAAACGATTTTCTCAGTTGTGACTCATAAACTTCTGGGAAAAGGTGGCCTGTCACTGGAAATATGATTCAGTGTCTTTCTGGTGTGACTTTATGAACACTGGTTTTTGGAGAGCCTGGGATGGGAGGGACCCTTATTATAATAACAACAATGACCAGCATCTGAATGGGAGTTTCTGACTTATGAAATAATTCCTCTTGGCTTGCTTCGTTTGGTTGTCTGCACCTTGCTATAGCGCATACAGGCCAGGTAATAGTATGCACCACACCTACTTTTCAGATTGAGGTATGGAGTGTGTAAGTGCCCTGACTAATTTCATTGTAGTTTATTAAATTTAGGAGCTGAAATTAGAATCTAAGTTCCCGACTTCTAATATGGTCATCCTTTTTGAATGCTTACATGAGATGCAGGCATTTTCTTCACAGACTAATTTTCCCAAGAGGAGTAAAGCTTTAGAGGAAATAAACTATCAGGGGAAACTATAGGAAGATAGCCATGAGAAAGGTAAATATTCCTGGGTTGGACTCAGTGTTATCACAACATCTCAGAGGCATGCCTTTATATGGTGCCTTCATGTTTAATACAGTGTCTATGCCTTTTGAAAGGGTAAATTTTAGCTTGGCTCTTCCCAAGGCAGACACCTTTATTAGGGTTGGTGAATGTAAATTAGTCATTAGGGCCCCTTTCTTGTCTTCTGATCTTCCTGCTTCCCTTTCCTGGTTCCTTGATTCCTTTCTCACTAATGAAAAAGGATAATGCTTATTCCACCAGTCCCTGGGAAGTTATAAGATGTGTTTTTTTAAAATGCCAATTACTCATATCTTCAGATGCTCCTTCATTCCCATCTACTTTCCTGACATGGCATTTCGTGAGCAGTGACTATGGAATCAGACACCCCTGAGTTTCAAACTCTACCATTTCCTATCTCTGATATCAGGGAGGTCGCCTGGTCTCCCTAAGTCTCAAGTTTTTCTTATATAACATGAGATTAGTTATAGGGGTGGTTATGAGTGTTAAATGGAATAATACACATGGAGGGTCCCGTTCAGTATAGAAGTGCTTATTACATACTTGATAAATATTTATCTTCCCTTTTCTCCTTTCTTCTCCTCTTACCTTCTGCTCTTTCCTTCTCTTCCATCTAAATGAAATTTGTTCAGTTATACAGTCACCAATCTGAGATGGGGAATTACAGAGTGGGCTAGTCTGGGAAATTGTGGAAAGAATGTCTATGAGGCAGCGAGTTGATTTACTTGTTACTTCTTGTGACCAGAAATATGGTTAAAGCATTTCCAGGAGCCAGACGAGACGAGACAGCAAAATCCAGCCCCTGTACCCCCATTGCCACCTCGAATTCAAGTAGTAGAAATCATCTACAGTTCCACAAATAGGAGAAATCTGGGGTCTTAATACATGCATCTAGGGCTTGCATGATAACCATGACATCAGCAAAGCTTTTGCTCATCCTTATCCCCTACCTCCATATTCCAGTAGGCAGGGGTCACACCCACCAACTGGCCCCCTGGCGCTGTGTAATCCCATCAACAGCCAAGACCCAGAGACTATAAAACCCAGCTCCTGGAAGCGCGTGGCCGCATTTGCAGCCACATGACATCTTATTATCTCATTCTTACTTTGGACAAACTGGCAGGCTACTGAATGTAACCTGCCCACATGGCAGGGTGTGGCAAACTCCCCTTGGTGTACCCAATATGCCATATACCAGTAACAATGATGGGTATCATTCTCCTAACCCTGAACGAGCTTTGATCTCAGGGCTAGGATGAAGGAGATGTTACTGGGGCCTGCTTGAGACAATTGACGAACAACAGGATGGTCATGATAGTGATCGTTATCCCCTACCTAACTTCCCTACTTGGTATTATAAGCACTTCAATGCTAGGTCCTCTCAGACAAATCTTCTCACTTTTAAGCTTTGAAATGCATCTAAGGCTAACTCTAAAATTCGTGTAAGAAATTTAACAAATTGTCCTTTACTGCACCACCTTAAACTATTTTGCTCACGTGTGTCTTCAGTTCCAGTGGCTCCTTTCAAGTTCGTCACATTTTCTTCTGTCACAGCAAGTGTGGTAACAGGGATAGAATTCAGAAATCAGAGCAGTATTTTGTAGGGTTTGTGGTAAGGAAATTAAATGCTTCTTGGTAGGATTTTAGACAACAAACTGGTAGTGCTGACTTGCTTGGAGCTGGAGATGAATAGTGCTTTATGTCTATGCCCCCATGAAGAGATGCACAAAGACACTTGACACTATGTGGTAACGAATGTCTGTTCATCCTTCTAGCATCCAAACTCTCTCATGTAATTCATGACTTGATACCAAGCTTAAAGCTTTGCCTATGTACAGCCTGGGGTCTATATGATATAAAAGAATGCATCTTTTTTTTTCTTTAGGACCACTTCATAATAAAACTCTAAAGTTTTGCTGTGTTGTTACGTATTAAGCAAATGAATCATATACTCAGGGACATTTTATTGTTTTGTTTGTTTCTTTTTAAAAATAATTTTTTAGTGAATCACCATGAGATATAGTTACGAAATTTTGTAACTATAGAGATATAGTTACAAAGTTTTCATAATTGAGTTTGTTTCTTTTGTTTTGGGACTTTACCCACTGATACTAGGGGATGTTGCTCATTCAATCTCATTGCTCAGAGACACTTGTGACAGTGCTCAAGAAACCATGTGGTGTTGGGGATTGATCTTGGGCCTTCAGCATATAAAGCATGAGTTCTAGTTCAATGAGCTGTTTCTCTAGCCTGATATTCTATTCTTTAGCATAACCCAGTCATCTTCAACATTGAACCTGTTAACTCAGTTGCTATAGGGCTTGGATATAGGAAGATTCATTGAAGATATTTTATAACTTAGAATATAGACACCTGTGTGTATTTATATATATACAGATAGGCACATATATAAACTATACATGTGCACCCACAAGAATAAAATACAAAATGGTATTAAATATCGAAAGAGAATTTAATATTATACTTAACATTTTAAAGAAAAGTAAAATTTAAATAAAGATTAGCAAAATTTCTTTTATCAGGACTTATTAAATACACTACTCTCTTCTAAAGCAATTGTACTGTTTCCAGTCAGAGGTATTTCCATTTCCTTTGATTCACTGCTACCGGTGTTACTTCGTCACTAAAACTTTTACTTGACTTCTACATTTATTCATGCTCATCAGACTAAGATGATTCAACTAAGGTGATATGAGATGATCTAACAGTAAGACTAAATTCAAGATCTATTGAAAAATGTTATCATTGGGCTCTGTGGCCAAAGCTGTCTTGTGTTTCCTCTCTTTCTTCTTTGCAGGTAAAATATTCAGGGCTTAGGTTTTCACGTGTCCATGGAATTCACACCCTGGTGCAGTTGGTATGCCAATGGCACTGCCAATTAACCAGGGAAGAGCTCTTGCACATTCACCCACTCTCTTTAGAGGTGTGATTACACACACTTTAAGAAGCTGATGTCTAGCATCATGTTTCGTAGTAAGCATCCATCCAGAGGGTTGCAGATTTTTTCAAGGCCCTAGGTGGAAGAAGCAAACAAAAATCACCAGCAAGTGTGACTCAGAGAAAAGAAGGAACCCTATGCAATACCTGTCACTGTCATTGTCCTCCCATTGTTCATTGATTTGCTCCAGTGGGCCCAGTAATGTCTCCATTGTGACAGTTGTTACGGTGTTTGGCATATCGAATACATCACGGGTAGCTTGTCAGGCTTTGCTGTGCTGGTGAGATACTCTCAGTAGCTTGCCGGGCTCTCTGAGAGGGGCGGAGGAATCAAACCCGGTTCAGCCATGTTGGCTGCGTGCAAGGCAAACGCTCTACCCGCTGTGCTATCGCTCTAGCCCATGCAATACCCGATTTCTTTTTTAATGCTACTTCTACTAATGCTAGGGGGAGGTGTAGGTGTGAGATTCTGAGCTACTCCTAGCAATGTTCCTCCCGGTAGTGTGGGACTGCTGGTCAGTGTTTGGGGGCAACTACTGTCACCCCAGTCATGCTTCGTGATGCTTCTGGAACTGGAAAGGTAGTGAAGGGGTTAAGGCAAGTTCCCAGCTTGCATCTGATTCCTGTTCCATTCTGGCACCACCTGGTCCCATAACTATTGCAGGGTACAACTCTGGAGGCCTTCCCTTGAGCACTGTTCAGTTAAACTGCGTAGTTCATAGTATTTCAGGACCCAGGCAGCATTGCAGACATAGTTCCTTGCATTGAACCGTGGTGCTGGTTGACCAGAAATTGCTGGGAGGGTTCTGGGACCTCCTGAGGAACCCCTGGGGGTTGACCTATTGCCTCCAAATGAAGAAATTTCTGATTCTCTATAATATAATACTTATCCTTGCATACCACCCATTCAGCATTTATATACCTATCCTGTTTTATTATGTAAGAGATATGCTTTAGATTCTTGAGAGACAGCAATGAATTAGATAGAGGTAAGTCTTCATCACATGCAATTCCTGGTCTACTTTGGGAAACACACATTAACTAAGTTATTATCCAGTGTGTTATTTAATCTCATGTGTTTTCAAAGGCCACTCAGGAAGAGAACCAGATTCTATAAAATGGATTTTATCCTGGGGTTTCAGAAAAAGGCATCTGAGATGAGCCTTGGAGACTGAATGGAAGCTGACAAGGTGCCATTAAGAAGGTGGCAGGTAGGAAGAAACTTCTAGGCATAAAAAACGTGGTAAAGGAAGTTAAATTGCAAGAAACAGAAAATTATATAGCAACTGAAAGAAGGGCGGACATCTGGAGAGTAGACTAGGAGGGGCAGGGAGAATCTGAAAAGGAAACTCGAATCTGAGACCAGAGCATAATGGACCTGGCATAGCTGGTCCCATTCAAGGCATTTCTTCGGTATTAAAACCCAGTCAAAGACCAATATTAGACAAAGGCCATTGTCTTTCCCCCAAAAGCCCAGACTTGACTTTGTTTAGATTCTAAAAATGTGCTTCCCTCTTCTCTTTCAGTATAAACCTCCCTCTTGTCACTTTAGGTAAGCTGTTGCTTTGAGGACATGAGTGTGTGTCAGGTAAGTCAAAAGTCTTGTCAGGAATTTTCTCACCTTTCAGGTAAGAGTTGTCCCTCGCCCACTTGGAGTCCCAGCTGTCATGTCCATGAACTGCCTCTGGACGCCATCTCAGTGCATCAATGGCCTTGATCCAGAGTCCCTCAAATGAATCTCAAAGTGGATTAGCTCCCTACAGAGAGATGTCTCTGGACCCCAACCATTCCCAATTTTAGAATTCCAGAGGCACACGGATGTAGGAAAACATTGTTTTGTCCTTCCTGCATAGCCTAAGGTAGTTTATGTTTATTGGATTGCTCCCATCACAGTGCTCCCATTCCTCTGTGTTTATTTGTAACTTCTTTGTTTGTTCTCTGTTGACTTGTAAATATTGTTTTTCTTTTCTCCTTAAATCCTTTGCATAGTTTATTCAAAGCAATCAAAGTTCTTATATGGACACAAGAAGACAGTAAATGCTATGCTTCTGTGATGTGGGAGTTTATTGACTCTCAGTGATATTTTCCTCCTGGGAATCTGTTATCTCAACCTAAGCCTCAACTACCCTTACTTCCTAGCATCCCCAAAAGCAGGATCCCGACAAGGCACTGGATGGAACCAGGGCAAGTGGTAAGCTATGTGCTACCCTGGCATCTAGAGGGGCCTGGCCAAGGTGCCTAATGCTTAACTATAAGTTAAGAGCTTGGTCATGGACAAATGCTGTCATGATCCAAAAAGTAATAACTAGATTCGGACCCCGTTAGGGTTAGGAATGATTAATCTGGCCTGAGCACCGTAGCCTGAGTCTGTGGCAAGATGTTCCCAGGAGAGTTGCCCTACAAGCCTCAATATATCTCTTACTACGTTCATACAAAAAAAACTAGTATTAAGATGTTGTTTGAGTTATTGGACTGAGGAAAGGAGAAAAACACCTTAAGAGGTATTTTGCCCATGTGCAGTCAGAAAGGGCTTTGAAATACCTGTAGGTGTGTTTCCGCCCTTGAGCCTGATGGGCAGTCAGAAAGGAGTTCCTTATGTTGATTTGACTACCTCATTGGGTGCAGTATCGGCCTAGAGTGCAGGGGAGTTAGAGAGACGAGAGAGTTGGAGAGAGGAGAGAGAGCAGGGCTGCGAGATGGATTCCCCAGAGACTAACAAGGGGGACAGAGAGAGAAAGATGTAGAAAAAGAAGGCAGGAACAGGCACGTGGAGAGAGATAGCGAGCCCAGGCTGCGAGATGGAGTGTGGAGAGATGAGGAGATACAGAAAGAGACAGGAAGGAGGGGCAGTGTGTGAATAGAATGGGAGGCTAAGAGGCTGGAGTAGGTGCGTGGAGAGAATGGAATAAACGGCATCTGATCAACCAACTGGTTTGGCCCTCATTCTTCTTCCTCTGTCTGCCCCATGGCCAGGGCTGCCCCAGGTGGGGGAGCAGCCCAGGCCCACTGAACGCGCGTGGCCAGAGGGAAAGCTGCCAGGGTCTCCCCAGGTCGTCTTGATTTTTATACACATGGCCACTTTGTGGCCACATGAACTCTCATTTATAGAAAATAAATATCTAGTATCTGTCCCTGGCGTTGGCTTGAATGATGGTGGGAAAATTCGAAATAATGGTGGTAGGAAGGTATACTGGTGGTGGGATTGGTGTTGAAATATTGAATATAATCAATTAATATGAACAACCTTATGAAAATAAAATTTAAAAATTTTTTTAAAAATTAAAAAAAAAGAGTTTGCTCTGAGGACATGAGTCCAACCTGCTAGCCCATTTTCAAGGAAACCTTTTTGAGTTCTGTTACCATGTCTCTTTTAATTGACTCTCAAGTGGCCATGGTTACAGTTTTGTTTTTGATCTTCACCCAAGAGAAAGAGAACACTCTTAAACTTAGACCATTTACTGTGAAATTGACCAGCACATTGTTCTCTAAAAGACTGCAGGTGCTGTGGGGTGAGTATAGCTTTTTAGTCTCCATCAGTCTCACCAGTACTGGTCAGGCATCCCTGGGATGGGTTTAAAAGGACAAATTAGGGGCTGGAGCGATAGCACAGCGGGTAGGGTGTTTGCCTTACACGCAGCCAAAATGGCCAACACAGGTTCGATTCCCAGCACCCCATATGGTCCCCTAAGCACCGCCAGGAGCAATTCCTGAGTGCATGAGCCAGGAGTAACCCCTGAGCATCGCCGTGTGTGACCCAAAAAGCAAAAAAAAAAAAGGACAAATTACCCCTGCCTGGCTTATTGACACAATTAGGTCCTCCTAGATGCCACTAGTGTCTATGTTAGCCAACCAGGACATGATGAGTTGAAGGTCCTTCCTGCCACTTAATTTCCAAAGTGCATAGACTTCTACAGAGGATACAAAGACAAAATGCCCAGCCCTGGTTTTAAGAAGCTAGAAATGTAATTGTGTATTAAGGTATTTTCTCTATGTCCCTAGAAGACAGGACTAAAGGGTAAGAGTTAGTATTATTGCTGCTCTTGATGTGGTTCCCTGCAGAGCCTCAGATTGGGTATAAAGCCTCAGTCTGGGCATAACGATACCCTTAATATTTGTTGTTGGAGAAATGATTCACAAGTCAGTAAAGTGACTGGTGGCCAGTAGCGAAGGGAAATGAGAACCAGAGAACCATGAGTCCAGTGAGACTGTTTTTACCTGGTAATATCTCCAAATGCCTTCAACATGGGCTTTTTCACATACTGCAATCCATGCTTAGCACACAGCGATCTCACCAGAGGTGCCACCTTGTGATAATTATGGCGTGGCATTGTCGGGAACAGACTAAGGAAACAGATGGGAGATTATACTCAGACCTCAGGAGAAAGCTTAAGTATTACCCCTTTCCAACACCTTTTTTTTCCAACTAATTAAAGTCATATCAGCAATGCAGACTCAATCTGGATGTTGCATAATTTTGAAATTGTGTAGGGAAGTTTGAGAACTATTGCCAAAATACTTATCTCTTTATAGTCAGCCAATAATGTGGTAGCAAATGTTTGAAACAAGTTAAAGAAATAAATAGTAGCTTTATATACTATATATATATATATATACTATATATATTTTTTTTTATTCAGTTCAAATCAATGTATTTGTAGAGACTGGAGGTCTCTCTCTCTCTCTCTCTCTCACACACACACACAAATCACTTCACATCACATCACACCCTCACATCTCTTTTTTTGCTCCCCTATCACCAGTACACATACATTTTACTCCTGCACCATGAGTAGGTGACTATTAAAATAAAGTTCTGGTCACTTATGGGAAAAGAATAGGATAGAAATGAGAGGTGAGGAAAAAATGGTCTTTTATCCAATGTTTGAACTAATCAGTCACATGGCCTTCTTGAGTTTAGCATTCCTCCTATAAAACATAAGTAATGATTCTTTCTCATTTTAATAAGATTTTAAAGAACTAACATGAAAGAAAGGATGAGAAAATCCCACAAATTTACAAGCATAAATTCTTTCTCTGAAAATCACAGGTATGGCTTTGACAAACAGGATGTGTAAAATCTTTCCCATAAATATGCTGGAAAGAAAAACTCTCCAAATATCACTAATTTATTTCTTTAGGTCATATCCATCTAACTAATCCATGCTACTACCATATCATCTAACTGACCTATAGTAACCTAACTGCTTATTCTAACCGAATAATCTAAATGGTAAGTAGAATAATTTTTCTTGGGTTTGCCCAACAAACAAAATGCAAAGAAAGCAAGCCCCACCCAAATTTCTAAATTCCTAGGAATCTGGAAATTGAGTCAGTACTACTATGATTCCACTCTTCTTACAATCATTTACCTTTCTTCATTCTATTCTTCCTCACCATTAATGCTAATAGAACAATAACTGTTATTAGAGAATTGTGGTTCATTTCTTGCCCCTGAGACCCTCAGCTTAGGACTCTTGAGCGTCCATGGGAGGAGATTATTAACATTTGATAGTGGTCACCCCCATCATCCTTATCATCATTGTTACTATCACTCACTGGTGCTCGATTTGGAAATTCAGGTGCCCAGAGAACCAGTCATTGAAAAAGGACTGATCAACATTACAGGTGGCCAAGACCTAAAAAAATAAAGTTTAGATTAGATATTAATGACCCCAAACAGAGTATTTACTCTTTTATCTACTCAATCATTTATCAAATATTGATCAAGTACCTCTTTTGTATAGAAACAGAGGGATTAAAAAATATACAGCCCGGGGTTCAAAGAATTTATTTTAAAACTGTTTTAAACAGATAATTCAACATTTTACTAAAAAGAATACACAAGTCATGGGATGGGGGGGATAGGGGGTGGGAGGGATGCTGGGACCCGTGGTGGTGGAGGATGGGCACTGGTGGAGGGATGGGTACTTGATCATTGTATAACTGAAACCCAAGCACAAACATTTGTAAGTCTATAACTGTACCTCATGGTGTTTCATTAATAATTAAAAAAAATAAAGAATACACAAGGAAGTCACTGTCACGGTCATTGTCCTCTCATTGTTCATTGATTTGCTCTAGCGGGCCCAAATCTCCATTGTGACAATTGTTACTGTGTTTGGCATATCGAACACATCATGGGTAGCTTGCCAGGCTTTGCCGTGCGGGCGAGATACTCTCAGTAGCTTGTCGGGTTCTCCGAGAGGGGCAGAGGAATTGAACTTGGGACACAAGAAGTAGGTATTAAAAAATATGATGGCCAGGGTGGGAGTAATTCCTCCTTAATCTATAATTCTAAAAGTTTCCAATTTTCTTCGACGACTCCTGTGAAGGTCAAAATCAGGGCTTAACAAATCTTTTTCTGTAAGTGCTGAAAGTATTTCGCCCACACGGCAAAGCCTGACAAGCTACCCGTGATGTATTTGATATGCCAAACACAGTAACAACAAGTCTCACGATGGAGACCTTACTGGGCCAGTTCGAGCAAATCGATGAACAACAGGAGGACAGTGCTACAGTGCCAGATTGCAAATGTTTTCTTTGCCATAACCACTCATTATGCTATTATAGGAGAGAAGATGTCGTAAAGCTGTATTTGGTTGTTGAACTATGATTTAATGAGTTTGACTTTAATTAAATTGAAGTCAAACTGTTTAGGTTTAAAACTTACTTCTACCCTTGTTAGTTGTACAACTTTAGCAAGTTATCCACTTTCTTCATGTCTCAATTTTATCACTCGTAATCCTATCACTTGCCTGTAGTGACATGAAAAGTACTGGTCAATGCCTGCTCCTGGCCAGCTTTTGGTGAGTATTCACTATTATTAGTCTTTGAAGTAACCAGACTTGAAATCGTTACAACAGGAGGCTTCCAGAAACTTCATTGTTACCTGTGTGCTAAGCCAGTCTCGGTTCTCCTCATAGCTCATTTTCATTGGTATATGGCTCATCTGGGTCACATAGGCAATCCAGGGACTTTCAAGAAACCTTTTGGAGAACAAAATTTGAAAGTTACAATTCATTGGGATGCTGTTTCCAGCCAATGAGCTACCCTAACTGCACGGGGCACCTAGCTGAGCACTGAAGGAAAGAAATGTCAGGAACTCATATTCCAATAAAATGGGGACATCTATTTTTCTCTTCGGAGTCCTTGTTTGTCTAAAAACAAAACTGCAAACTTTTAGTCACATGACTGGTCTTGCTGCCTCTGACAAGGGAGCAATGCCCCCAAAGTTTGCTGTCATTGGTGCAAGGATCAAATTATCCCTAGAGAATTTAAGCTCTTATACAAAATGATTGACAGCATGACTGACTGTTATTGACTATTGATTGGGGTAAGCTTCTGGTTTGGCATTGACCGTTACTCGATCTATAACCTTTGGCAAGTTATTTAATCTCTCTGAATTCATCCACTTCTCTAGAAGAAAAATAATAATGATACCTATACCATTTACATTACAACATTAATTACAGGATTACATTAAAATAAAGGAATACATGGAGAACCTTTAATCAAATAATTGCTGCGTAGTAGCGTCACTATGTAGCTTTAATTGTGTAGGATTTTTCATAACAAATGCAGAAGAATGAGGGGAAAATAAATATGAACACTGAGGGATATTCAATAGGTAGTCCTTTTGGTTTTTAGGAAAAACATTAGTGATAAAACAACAAAAAATTTTCATTTTCCATTAAAGTTAGAAAAGATAATAAAATCTGAGTAAATTATAATTTTTAAAGGATGTGAGGATCAAATAGATTTCTGCAATGAAGAATTGAGCAAGTACTATAAAGGAGTAGATAGGACAATTTTATTTTAACCAAGGAGCTCTATTTATTCAACTACTTCAATTCTTTTCTTTTCTTTCTTTTTTTGGGGGGAGAAATGTCTTAGTTGTAGATAAAACTAGCCTAGACAATAAAGATAATAGGATCATACAGGTTACAAGAATAAAAGAATATGTTTGCTTACTTGACAAAGTATATGAGCAAAATGGTTCCAAAGATTCCATAAAAAGGGCCAAATGTGATGAGATAACGAATATAAAAACTGCTAACCCAAGCAATGTCCTGCAGAGAGAAATGCTTGACAATCAATTGCTCAGAATACAAATTCATCTCCCCATAGTTATACACTAAGTATTATATCCAGTTTTTGAAGGAGGTAGGTTCAATAAGGTGCTGAGTACATTCATATCTTTTTTTTAATCACGTGTTTTTTTTAAATCTGCTATATCTTGAAAGCCTGAGCCAAGTTACTCACCACCCAATATCTTCGGAGGTACATCACTTGCATGGACTGAAGGTTGAAATATACAGGCATAAGGAGAGGGAGTCCAACTGAAAGAGACAAGAGACACGCAAGAAATGAGCAGGAAGTCATGTGAATGCAAGTCAACAGGAGTCTTTTCTCAACACAGCCCTGCAAGGTGACCTTTGTGCAGGGACAAGAGATGGCTTCTCTCCTCACATCCTGGAGTCCTCTGAACCTATCAGCTGTCTGAGAGTGAACAGGCAAATTGGTACAAGGTCCCTTAAGAGCACTAGGGAAACTTTGGAGATTTGAGTCATTCTTGAGAGAGACCTGGAAGGATTTCTACTGTGAGCTTTCAATGTCAAGGTCCATGAGCTCATCCAACCTTTTCCAAACTTTAGTCACAACATAGGGAGGTGGCAGTGATAAAGGGGGTGTTCTTGTTTTTCTAGCCAGAAAGTTTTAAAACTGTATTTACTTCACAATCAGTGAGTACATTCAGAACACAAATGAGTCCTTTTTTATTTATTTTTTTTGTTTTTTGTTTTTGAACCATACCTGATGATGCTCAGGTATTGGTCCTGGTGATACAGGCAGGAATTACTCCTGAAAGTGCTTAAAGAACTATCTGGGATGCCCAGGATTAAACCTGTTTCAACTATATGCAAGGAATTCTTTTTGTTTTTTAATTTTGTTTTTAATTAAATCTTTGTTATTGAAATAACACTGGTTTATAAATTATATGAATTTTGGTTGTTATACGTTCTAACTCAACATCTGTTTATACTACAACACGCTAGTGGTCTATCTTTTACCAAGAAATTGATCCCTTTTCTCGAATTTGTTCACCTCCATTCCTCTCTGATAACCACTATTTTGTTCTAGATTCTGGGTTTTGACAAACTCTCTGCTTGAACAAACTTTGTCTGGTCATCTGAGACCACTTCTTGACTAGACTTTGCTGCTAATCCAACTTGCAAACTTCAAACTAAGATGATTAGAACCTAGGATGATCCAAAGCATTTTAAGTCCCTACCTGAGTACATTGAGAAAAGAGTTTACTGTGTATTCAAGCCAATATCTCATTATAAGTCTTTAACTTTCCCCAGAGCATTTGTGATAGAAAACTTAGATTGATTAAGCACTTTGGCTGGTAAAATCTCTGTACACCAAGATATCTCTCCTAGGACCAAGTTATGTCATTCTGAAAGACTTGGACATCATTTTTGGAGATGTAATTATCAAGAAGAGGGCCTGTCTTCTAATGCCCATGGAACAGAGGAACCTAATATCCATAAGGCCCAGTAATTGGATACAGATAGTCTAATCACAATTCTCCCTATTTTCCTGGTCTCTCTTGGCTTTCCCTTTCGCATGCCTCACTATTTAAAATATCTCCACTTTTTGTTTCAGCAGGGCTGGAGTGATAGCACAGAGGTAGGGTGTTCGCCTTGCGCACAGCCGGCCCAGCCAAGCTGGATTTGATTCCTCCGTCCCTCTCAGACAGCGTAGCAAGCTACCGAGAGTATTCAATATGCCAAACACAGTAACAAGAAGTCTCACAATGGAGACGTTACTGGGTCCGCTCGAGCAAATCGATGAACAACAGGACAGTGTTTGTTTGTTTCAGCAGAGTTAAACCCAGTTTTCTTTGGGAATTCTCCTCCATTGCATGAGTCTGAGTCAAATTTTTCTTTCCATCTTTACCAAATATCCAGTTGTTGTTTGTTTCTCTTTGAACATTTGAGTAAGACTTATTTATTTGTATCTGAAATGCTAATTTTGTATCTGAACAGAAAGGAAATAATACAACATCCCCCAAAGGCAGTGTTATTGTTATTGAAATAGGTGGGCTTTCTGCAGTGACACCACACTATTCACTCATGTATCATTAATAAGTTTAAGACCAATTGCATCAACACAATCAAGGGGAGGAGAGTGTAAAAAGAGGCATCAATTGGTTTTTTTGTTTGTTTGCTTGTTTTGTTTTGCTTTTTGGGTCAAACCCAGTGGTTACTTCTGGCTCTGCACTCAGGAATTATTCCTGGTGGTGTTCAAGGGGACCATATGGCATGCTGGGAATCGAACCTGGGTCAGCCACGTGCAAGGTAAACGCACTACCCACTGTGCTATCGCTCCAGCCCCTCAATTGTTTTTCTTAATGAAGAAACATCTAGTTCATCTTGGGATCAGCTGCCTTTTAAAATGGAGCTCCAATAACTTTAATAAAAGGTATTCTGTCTAATATTTCCAGGATGGGGATCTATCTGCAAGAAATCTTGGTTGACACCTTATTTTTCACCTTCCTTGGTGTCTCCTCTGTTCAGTACCCAGAATCATTGAAATGCCTCTTAAAAATCCCATTTTCTTTTTTGAATTTTACACACTCCCCTACACCAAGAGTCTAAAAGAAGACTTGCTACTTCCATCTGAAGTCATGATAAGACACAGATTGTCACTGTGAAATTATTCCAGTGACATCATTGTTGGTTATCAAAAAGTGGCTGAAAAGAACTAGGACCCCAAGGACACTCACCCAGGTAGAAGTACAGGTGCTGCTTTTCATAGTTGATGTATTTAATTTTCTTCTTGCCGTACTAAATAAAGAGTAAGACTTGAATAAGAAATACTACTTGTGGTGAGTACATTCAAGGTCATCTCTGTGTATGTGTATGTCTGTGTATGAGGTGTGATGTGTGTCTAGAATCTCTATGGGAATGCCATTTGATTAGAATTCACTGTCAAAACAGATATTTTCAGAAGAAGCAAAAGTAGGAAGATATACTGTGACCTCCTTTGGGTTTTAATTAAATGTGGACAATTATTACATGAATGATTTAGTTCAATGGTCACTAGGAGTTTTGATGAGCTACTAATTAAATGGCCATGTGGTAAATATTATAGACATAGCTCCTTCTGGCCATCTTTTCTCCTTTTCTGGCCATTTTTTCTCCTTTTCTCCTTTCTGTTCTCATCATGGATCTCAAGCTGTGATTTGCTCTTTCTAAATTATAATAAATATTGCGAACATATCCTTAGCCTGTGATTTGTTGTATTAATGATTTAATTCATGGAGTGACTAAATAAAAATTCAGATGCAGTCGATATTTTTTTCTGTATCCTCTTAGTTACAATCCTATTAGCAGTATTTGATTTACTCTTTCAATTCTTTTGAATCCTTCTCTTCTACAGAGAAATCTTTGGACAGTAGGATTGCTTTATTTCTTCTATTATTGTTATAAATAAAAAGATATATAACAGCAAAAAGTAATAATAGATATTTGCAATAACTCTTAAACTTTCAGATTTTTAAGTATTAATAAATATGGAAAGGAGAGTAAGTGGAAGGTGCTTGGCAGTTGAGGGACCAATTTTGAGTACTCTGAGTACTCAATTTTGAGTGTTTTGAGTATTCTCCCAGAGAGCACTCTAAGTCTTTAAAAACATGTGTACAGAATCTGCAACATCAAAGATTTAATTAAGTTTTTGTTAAAAGGAAGAAATGTTTGAAAAAAGTGGTAGAAAAATTGGCAGTAAATTAGGACAAATCATGTTTATTTTATTTTTCAAAATTTTTTTGGGTTTTGGGCCTCACACAGTAGTACTTACGTTCTACTTCTGACTGTGCTGGGAGTATCTCTTTGTGTGGATCAGGGGTCAAATGTTGCTTAGCTACATGCAATACACGTGCTTTAACTCCTATATTTTCTTTCCAGCTCAAGAATCTTTACTCTTGAGCAGAAAGATAGTGCATTGGGTAGGGTATTTTCTTTGTACGCCACTGAACAGGGTTTGATCCCCAGCACCACACATGCCTCCCCAAGCACTGCCAGGAGTGATTCTTGAGCCAGGAGTAATCCCTGATAAACTCTGATAATGGCCCCAGAGCAAAACAAAACAAACAAAACAAAACAATCTTTACTCTTGCAGGAAATGTACAGTGGTGAAGGGATGGGTGTTGGAACATTGTATGACTGAAACCCAATCATGAACAACTTTGTAACTGTGCATCTCACTGTGATTCAATTAAAAAATAAATACATTTAAAAAACCTTTACTCTTAATAAATTTGGCGGTTAATTTTCCTGATGAGGTTTAAAAGAATCAATGAGAGGAATTCGAGACTTTTCTCCTTCTTCTGTTTGAGCTCTTATCAAGTAGGATCTCTAAGTGCCTTAGAAAGATTTGGGCTGTGCTTCATTTAGACATGAACTACGATGAGCAAGAACTAAAAATATCAGCACTCACTTCTCACTGAGCTAGAGTTACTTGAGATAACTAGATATTTAAATGTCTGTGATCTAGAGCTTAATGAGTAAGCTGGCCTCTCTTTGCACAGTGACTGTCTCCAAATTCTTATTAAACGCCGAGAGTCAAAGCCAACCTTAGTCATACAAATTTCCCTATCTGATTGGGCAGCCTCAGAGATAGTGACAAGTACTAGGCAGGAAACCACCAATCAGTAGAATTGTGCAGGCAGGGAAACATGGGTTGTCTTATTTCCTAGCATGGGATTTTAGACTAAATGGCCTTGTAAGGTTGTAAATTCACGCACTCCACATCTTCTAATTCTTACAACGTCAGAGTCAGTTATTTCAATTATGTGTTCTGAAAGGGGAGGCACTCTGGATTTTTGAAGCTGAAATCTCTAGTTTGATCTTTCTAAATCAGGGCAGCTGGTCTTTCCAAGAATCCCTTCCAGGTGGCCAGGACTTCTTTTTTAATTTTTTTTTATTTTTTAATGAATCACCGTGAGGTACAGTTATAGACTTACAAACTTTTGTGCTTACATTTAAGTCATACAATGATCGAGTACCCATCCTTCCACCAGTGCCCATCTCCACCACCAATGTTCCCAGTATCCCTCCACAAGCCCCCCCCCCCCCCCCCCCCCCCGCCAGTACGTTGCCCTCTGCCTCTGAGACAGACACATTGCCTTTAATCTCTCCTTTAGAGTGTTGTGGTTTGCAATGCAGGTATTGAGTGGCCATCATGTTCTGTGTACAGTCTATTTTCAGCACGCATCTCCCGAGTGGCCCTCCAAGCATCCTTTACTTGGTGGTTCCTTCTCTATCTGAGCTGCCTTTTTCCCCAGCATGTGAGGTTGGCTTCCAAGCCATGGAGCAATCCTCCTGGTCTTTATCTCTACTATCCTTGGGTGTTAGTCTTCCTCTGTTACTTTATGTTCCACAAATGAGTGCAGTACTTCTGTGTCTGTCCCTCTCTTTCTGACTCATTTCATGATACTCTCCATGTTGGTGCCCAGGACTTCTAAACATACCTTCACAGGTTGCAATTCTCCAAGTAGAAAAAGTGGACCCACATCAATATCTGGGTCTTTGGGGTAGACATTTGGCTTTACATGATGTTGAAAATGTCGGAAATTCCACCAGTTTGTGGATAGACCCTGAGGAGAAGAGAGGCTCATGAGGTCAAAGGTCAAAATAAAATAGTTGAACTTCTCAAACTTACCCCTGCTGTCAGGTCACAAAACAATTCCTTGATTGGGGGATCACAAAGCTTATGAAACAAATCATTTTCTGATTTAGGAACACAGATTTGGGCAGAAGCAATGGGCAATGAAAAACCACAACTGTTGAAATTTTTTTACTCTTCTGAGTTTTGATTCTTATTAAAAAGTATCTGATGGTAGGTGGGGCAGAGAATATTTTTCCTAAAAAACAAAACCTCAAGATTTTAGTTCTTGGGGGAATAAATAAGTTTCCAATATCAATGAGTATTTTATGGATCTGATATGCTGTCATAGGGTAAACTGTATTTTATCATCAGACTTCAATGATCTCATAGAAAAATAATGAGAATAAAATATTTTAGTTATTAAAAATATGGAGTTGCATGTATATCAAAACACATATATTTTAGCATACACATACACAGAAAGAGACACAGACACACATGGGAATACTATTCAGCTACTAAAAATGATGAAATCCTACCGTTTGTTAATTTGTCTCAAGAATGAAACTAGAGAGTACTATGCTTAGTGAAATAAGTGTGATGGAGAAAGACACACATCCTGGAATCCCCTCATTTGTAGAAGATAAAGGTACAAAGCAAATGAACAAGAACCAGACACACAGAACAGAGGGTAAGGTGCCTGTCTTGCATGTAGCTGAACCGGGTTAAATCCATAGCACTGCACATGATTTCCTCCACAGAGCACTACCATAGAGCCGGTAGTAAGCACTACATAGTGTGGTCCTAAACCTCAAACAAATCTTAAACAAATAACAAAACAAACCTATGCTCAGACTTCTAGGCCACAAAAAATGAAAGAGTGAAGAGTGTTTATAGAAAGGAAGAGAGAAATGAGTACGAGTAACTCAGGTAAAAGATATCAATTGCATGTGATGAACAGAAATGACCATATGGCAGTCAGGTACATATAGGTGATGGTTTGTATAGCTATACACCTATATAATGTTATGTGTTTGTTACTTCAATTAAAATAATTTTAGGACAGTCTGTCACACACACTGTCCTGTTGTTCATTGATTTGCTCAAGTGGGTCCAGTAATGCCTCCATTTTTGAGACTTGTTGTTACTGTGTTTGGCATATTGAGTACGTCACAGGTAGCTTGCCAGGCTTTGCCTTGAGGGCGCAATACCCTCAGTAGCTTGCTGTGATCTCTGAGAGGGGCAGAGGTATCGAACCCAGCTTGGCCAGGCTGGCTGCGTGCAAGGCAAATGCCCTACCACTGTGCTACCGCTCCAGCTCAAAATTATAAATGAATTTATACTATAAAAATTTCAGTTATTGCCAAGCTTGAATAATTTTTATTAGCCTTTAGTGGTTTTTAATATTTCTGAATAAAAATGAAGATTTTCAATGAATCAAAGGCTTAGAGGCAACCTGAAAAGCTTTCTATACCAACCTAGCTTCATATATAAGCTGCATAAATATTGCTGGGTATGTTGGACAAATTGTCTAACCTCTTTGAAGCTGAAATCTAGCTTTCTTCTCTTTTCCACAATTGTTAACCACTTATAGAAGTCTAAGCCATAGTGGTACTTTTAATTGCTTAGTTAACATTTCTTGTTGTTACTATTTTTGGGTTGGAGTGATAGCACAGGGGGTAGGGTGTTTGCCTTGTATGCGGCTGACACGGCCGACCCGAGTTTAATTCCTCCGCCCCCCCCTCAGAGAGCCCGGCAAGCTATTGAGAGTATCTCACCCACACAGCAAAGCCTGGCAAGCTACCCATGACGTATTCGATATGCCAAACACAGTAACAAGTCTCACAATGTTACTGGGCCAGCTAGAGCAAATCAATAAACAACGGGAGGACAGTGACAGTGATTGTTTTTGGCATATCGAATACGCCATGGGGACCCAAAAATAGTAACAGCAAGTCTCACAATGGAGATGTCACTGGTGCCCGCTTGAGCAAATCGATGAACAACGGGAGGACAGTGCTACAGTGCTACAGTTAACATTTCGTGAGTGGTTGTTTCATGTTTAGATCTACATCGTTCAGTATAGTAGCTACTAGTCACTTGTGGCAACTTGGCACTTGGAATGTGATTGGGTTAAAATGGGTTGTAAGAATAGAATGGATAACCATAAAGCCCAAAAGGAAAGAGAGAGAGAAACAGTGAGAGAGAGACAAAGAAAGAGAGACAGAAAGACAGATAGAGAATTAGTCCCCAGAGAAATTTCCTCCCCTGTGAAAAGGAAACAGTGGGTGGAAGGAGGGAAACCAGGGCCTGCTCTAGACAAGTGTACCCTTAAAGGTGAGGAATAATTATGGAAATTGGTGCTGGAAGAGGCGTGTTCTGATTTGCGATAAGCAGGATCTTGATAACCCAAGGTCTCAGAGTTTATGACATTAGTCAGAGTAATTATGGGTATAATCTAAAGCAGCAGGTTCTTCCTGGGCCCCTCTACCAGGAAGCCACTTATTACTGGAGATAGAGAGAGATCCATGGGTCAGAGGAGATTATTAGCTACGTGAAATTTAGGTTTCGTATGCCAAGTTCCATACGGGAACCACCTTCCCTAAGCAATTCCTCCTTTTTTCGAGGAATCATTTTTCTTGGTACTGTATAAACAATTCAGTTCTTTGACCTAAAATGTCCTGAACCCATGCTTCTAGTTGTGTGGTCTTGAGCAATTTCCCCATTTATAAAATGGATAAAGTTACTAGAAATATTTCAGGAAAAAAAAAACCTGCTTGATATAGGCCCCACTCAATGTTTTAGGATGTCATAGAAACAGTATAGACAAGATTTTCAAAGGTCTTAATTTCAAATATTATCCCCTTTTATACCTAGAACAATACTTATAATTCACATAACTTTTAAAATAAGCTTAGTGGCGTGTGGGTATATTGGAAGATATGCTATGAAGAATGCATTTTGATTTTAGTATTGCATAGGCATCCAAAATGTCTATATACATATTTCATGGCATATTTTTTGTGGCTAATTTATTCCGATAATTTATTGGAAACAGAGGCCTCTCCCCATCCACGGCCCAAGCAGCAAGCAGCAAGGGGGCGATGGCAAGGCGACCCCGCTGACATAGATGACTGGCTCGACCCCCAAAGGGCAACCCTACCGAATGAGGAAAGCCCAAGAAGGGAAGGACAGCAAAGCCAGGTGATGGGGAAACGACCTGGAGTGCTTCAGGGGCACCACCGAGGACTGGTTGAGGCAAGGCAACTGCCGCCCCAGACAGTGAGGAGGGGTCGGCTCGAGAGAATGGGAACCGGGGAGGGTCCCACAGAGCGAGGGTTGTCCACCGTGTCATACGACCCCGAAGCTCACTCCCCCTGCATGGTGGGAGAGCGGCAAGAACAGGATCAGCCGGGGTCCACACCCTTGAATGCCCACCCCTACCGCGAGGTCGGGGAGAAGCGAGAGGCCAGCTGGCAGAAGGAGAAGAGTGGTCCCTCATCTGGCGCGGCTTAGGCCCGGCCTGGGAGAGCACTATAAAACCAGCTCCCGGAAGAGAACAGCACAGTCTCCTGCCCCTGCGCCTGGCTATCCAGACCTCCAGAACCAGCCACAACCATGCTGAGACCATTCCACACACATGAAGGTACCAGCAGAGGAACAAAGGCATGCAGGTCCCGGGCTGAGATCTCTAAGCCTGCTCGGATGGGGACTGAGCATCCTCCACCCAGATCCTCCATCTTCCAGTAGGCCGGGGTCACACCCACCAATTGGCCCCCTGTGCCATGTAATCCCATCAACTGCCAAGACCCAGAGACTATAAAACCAGCTCCCGGAAGTGAATGTGGCCATGTGACATCTTACTATCTCATTCTTACTGTGGACAACCTGGCAAGCTACCGAATGTAATCTGCCCATATGGCAGCGTTTGGCAAACTCCCCGTGGCATACCCAACATGCCAAATACCAGTAACAATGATGCATCTCATTCTCCTAACCCTGAAAGAGCCTTGAATATGGCACTTTTTAAAATCTCAGGGCTCAGATGAAGATGTTACTGGTGCCTGCTTGAGGCAATTGACAAACAACAGGATGATCGTGATCGTGAATTTATTGCAAAAATGCTCAAAACCCCAACATATATATTTTGTCACAACAAATGAATGAGTATCTTGGTGAATCTCATTCTGTGCCTTTCTGGAGTGCAGGGGAAGGTAAGCTGACATAAATTCAAGTTTTGAAATATAAGATCATGATGCGTGTTTAAGGTGGGGATGTTGCTGTTTGTAATTTCCTTTGTTACCTCCCCTTCCACCCACCTCTTCCTTTTCACAGGGGAAGACATTTCTCAGGGGAGTAATTTTCTCTCCTGTGCTTAGTTGAAACCTATATTCATTTTGTTCATGAATCACTGGTTCTGCCTGCGAAAACATAGAGTGCACTTGATTTGCTTTTACAGCCATTTCCTATTTTCTTATTCTATTCATAATTCACCCAGATTTGATTCATTTCAGTGAGTGAAAAATTGTTTCTGAATATATACATATACATATATATCTATACACACACATATATATTATATAGAGTGGGACAGGGGACTATGACAAATGTGGAAAGCAGAAAATATTTTTTTAAACAACCACCAGCGAAGGTAAGACTAATTGGAAGTACTCTGAACAACAGAGCCAAATCAACTGCAATTATCTCCAGGGAAGATGAGTCTAACTTTTTTCCTGACTTAAAACACAGAGAGAGCTTAAGGGTTCATTATCTGAATTTCACAATGACACAAAAAATCTCTGCTTTATTTCTGGCATCATGATTGTGAGCAACTCCAAAAACATTTTACTGAACTACTACTGGAGGACAGAGGGCATAAGAGTGTGTCTGAAGCAATTTTTTTGTCAAATAAATCCTGTCACAAGAAAGGGTTATTTATTTTAACTTTCTAGTGTGACAGACTCATTGCGAGTTCCTGTCCAGATACAACTCTGAGCTGTTTATTCTAATGAGCCCTTGTTGTGCTCAACTGGACAGAGTAGATACAAGGAGGTAATTCCAAATATCTTTTTTGTAGCATCACAATTAAACATTTTTCTTTAATTTTGGTATCTCATTTTGTTTGTTTGTTTGTTTGTTTGCTTGTTTTTGGGGAAAACCAGCAGAGCTCAAGGGCTATTTCTGACTCTCTGCTCAGGGGTCCTCTTGGCAGGGCTCAAAGGATCATATGTAGTACTGGGAATTAAAGTGGGTTTAGCTGCATGTAAGACGAGCACCTTAACTCCTGTACTGTCTCTTCGTCCCAGTTCCTCGCTTTGACAATACAAAGATTGATCTTAACTTTAGTAACAGCCAACTATGATAGGCATTTCCCAAATGCCAGCCATCATGCATAACACATGAACAGTACATCAGTACATCTTACCCTGAAATATCTCTGTTATCGATCTTTTTTTTCCCCTTTGCCTTTTGGGTCACACCCAGCGATGCTCAGGGGTTGGTTGAGTCCTGGCTCTGCACTCAGGAATTACTCCTGGAAGTGCTCGGGGGACCATATGGGATGCCGGGGATTGAATCCAGGTTGCTCGTATGCAAGGCAAATGCCCTACCTGCTGTATTATCACTCTGGTCCCATCGATCTCCTTTTGACACTTAAACAGCTGAAGTTCATAGACGTTAAGCAACTTCTTCAAAATAACTCAGCTAATTAGTGACTGCATTCCCAAAGTAGGCAGTGTTGTTCTTAGACAACCTCTTCTTAATCCAAGTTGGAGTTTAGACTCAGCAGTGGAGCTTTCAAAATGGCTAATGTCCCAACCCCACCACAGGTGAACTAGATCAGAACATCTAGATGCTAACTTTTTACACTGTGGGTCATGACCCCATATGAGGTTGTGTAACTGCATGGTTGGAACTAGAGAGGCACAAAAATTTGGCAGCAGTAAAAGGCTTCTGAATGCGCAGTGACCAAACCTGAATTCAAAGTTAACTGCATAAGGAGTCTGTTGTATTTCTGACAATGCTCGACCATGATGCAGGTGAAGGGGAGCCGCAAGTGGAACAAAGTCAGGAAGTTCTCGTCCAAAGAGGGCAGGTGGGCGCAGAGTTTTTCTAAAGCTATTCGTGTACCTTTGTTTTTTTTTTTTAATTTTTATTAGTGAAACACTATGAGGTACAATTGTAGACTTACAAATTTTTGCGCTTGGGTTTCCGTTATACAATGATCGAGTATCCATCTTCATGTACTTTTGAATGACAGTCAGAAGGGAGAAGCTCTGTACTGGAGTCTGTCTGATGCTCATGTTTAGGGGTATAGATACACTATTTAAAAATATATTGAGCCCCTGTGACTATCAGTCTTGACTGTAAATTAGGGATACTATGATCCCCATCTCCTGGGAGTCAGTAAACAATGTCAAAGGGACTTGTGCTGAAGCTGATACTTAACAAATTCTCATCTAATTTTTGTTTCTTCCTTTTTCATGTGTTGCCACTAAATTCTGCTGGATCTGACTCCACCATTATTTTTGCTGTCTTAGTATTAAGAATGGAGGGAATATAGATAATATCTGGTTAAATGAACTTGTCACGTGAAATGACCTTATTCATTCTGACCATTTTGGGTACAAACATAGTTTATATGAATCCACATCCATGTGATTTAATGTATTTAAGCCTCAACTTGAAACAGGATTTGTAATAGGTGACTCTAAGTATTGCCTAAGATTCAAACAAAAGCACCATGTTAAGGAAAAACAACTAGGCTTTGAGTTTTTATTAAGATGTTTTGGCTTGAATGCAAGAATTTGGCTTAGTGGATGGCTCAGGGCCATTTCTTCCTGTCTAGACAAAAAAAAAAGACAGAGTTGCCAAATCCTAGAATGTCTGAGGACAGCAGAGAAAAGTTTGACTTACAATGTTACAGATGAAAAGGACCAGAAAGAGAATGTGACATATCCAAGATATCACAGAGGAACATAGCAGGAGCCAGGGCTCAAATCTACTCTTAGTAGTCCTGTCCTATTGGTCCTATTGTCTTGATTTGTCCATCCATCCATCCATCCATCCATCCATCCATCCATCCATCCATCCATCCGACAAGTGCTTGCTGAAGACCCTCTGTGTTCTGGTCATGCTGCCAGGTGCTGCAGTGCAGTTTTTAATTAAAAAACCTCACATTTTGTTTGATGGAATATAGTCATTTTTTGACTTGAAGTCATGTTGTATAAGCCATTTTCATACAGACTCAAAATAACAAAAAAGGACCTTCCCTTTCGTAAGCACTTGTAATGACTCACTCATCATGTTGTACAAAGGCGTTCCATTCATTGAAACTGAAGATAGTAACATTATCGGTAATATTTTTTGGGGGGAGGGCTGGCTATGACAGAGATGGAACAACTTCTAAAATTTTGCAGGAAACAAAGGCCTATATAGGAAAAGTCTAATATTTTTAGTAAAGTTAGGTATAAAATCCAGAGGACCCTATATTGGCACTCATGGAGCTTAGTATGTTCAGGATGATAAGATCAACTGCCAGCATCACCTGCTTTGTCCAGACGCCTGGATTTTGTACCTTTTGATTCTTAAACAGCTATCTGATCTTCCTTACCCACTTTTTCACTTCCTCTTCACTGCTATCTATTCTACTGTGCTTTTTCCTATTCAGGTTTGATGGATTTTTCTAGGTTCCCATAAAAAGGATCTAGATCCTTCCCAAGAATATTCCCACTCATAATTTGATTTTATAGACCCATACACCTTGATATTAAATATTTGGTCCTCCTAAGCCAAATATATTTTTTGATTTGAGAAAAAATTAGACCTTAAAAATAAACATTTACTTGTCAAATTAAAAATTCTAATTCAGGACTGGGCATGTGGCTCAAAGGTAGAACTCAAATTTACATGTGTGAGACTCTGGGTTTAATTCCTGGCACTGCAGAAAAGCAAAAACAGAATATCACAATGGAATTCTACGCAGCTGTTAGGAAAAATGAAGTTATGAGATTCTCTTATGGATGAATAGATATAGAGAGTATCATGCTGATTGAAATGAATCAGAGGAAGGGGGAAGACATAGAATCTTTGCACACATTTTTAGGATATTAAAAAAAGATATAACATGAAACTAATATCCAAGGACAATAGAAACAAGGGCCAGGAGGATTGGTCTATGATTGAAAACCTACCTCAAGTGCTGGGGAAGAAGGCAGTTGGGACAGAGAAGGAACAACTATGACAAAAATAGTTGGAAATGATTACTCTTGATAAGAACTGCATGCTGAAAGTAGGTAAAGGAACAAACATAATAACCTCTCAGTATTTTTATTGCAAATCCCAAAAGGAGAGAGAGAGGGAGAGAGAGAGAGAGAGAGAGAAAGAGAGAAAGAGTGAGAGACAGAGACAGAGGGACAGAGAGACAGAGAGACAGAAACAGAGAGAAGTTTATGCCACAGAGGTGGGATGGGGTAGGCAGAGGGAAAAATAGGTGGTGGAAAATATGTAGTGGTGAAAGAATGGGTGTTACAACATTGTATGACTGAAACCTGACCAAGAACAGCTTTGGACTGTGTATCTCATGGGGATTCAATTTTTTTAAAGCAAACAGAAATTCTAATTTTTGCTATTATAATGTTGTATTACACATTAATATCTTTTAAAGTATATTTATTTGTGGGTGTGCACAAAATTTTTATAACTATAAATGCACATACTTTTAAATAAGCTCTCAGAATCCCAGTAAGGGGCTGGAGATACAGTACAGTGGGTAGGACACTTGTTTTGTATGTGATTTATCCGAGTTTGGTCCCTGGTACCAAATACAGTTTCCCCAGCACCACGTGTAGTATGGAGTAATTCCTGAGTATAGCCAGGTGTGGCCCCCAAATCAAAACAGACAACAAAAGAATCCCATTAAACTCTCTGAGCATCCTGTACCTTGAGATGACACATCACAAATTTGTGCATCAGGTGGTTCCACTTGGTCTTCTTAAATATGGAAAGGTGTCCTACATCATGCTGCAAAAATGAACTTTGAGCCTAGGAGAGATGAAGTGGTTGTTAGAGAAGCCGGAAAGTTGAAGAAAAAATTTCAGAAGAGTTCCCAGCCAATTCAAGAGCTCATCGGAGAACAGAGGGAGATCTTATCTGAAATTAAGATAAATTTCCTTTTGATTTTCCCTTTTGGTATTTCCATGGATGTGGTTCTCTCACCTAAAACATCTTTGCTTATTGTCAAAGATCTTTTAACGTGAGTGGGTGAGGGTATAACTTAATGGTAAAATTCATGTCTTGAATGTGTGAGAGCCAGGTCCAAATCCATGGTAACACAAACACACACACACACACACACACACACACACACACATACACACGCTTCTTCCCATGTAGAGTTGTAAAGTGCGAAGAGTCTGTCTTGTGGAGATAGACAGATTTGGGTTTGATGCAACCTTTACTGTGTGTTATTTGCAAGTTATCAATAGCTTAAGATATCTTGACAAGTTGTCAGTCACTTGGAATCTTAGTTTCATCTGGTAAAAATGATAATAATAATTAAAAAATGAAACTGATAATAATAACTTCTTGGTGAAGCAATTGTACAATATAAATACGTGCAAAATTTCTGGCTTCTGTTGAAGCACCAAAAACATATTTGTTTCCTTTCTTACTTACCAGAGTAACTTTTCAAGGAATACAGTAAACTAGCTTTTCAAAAAAAGAAATTAACATGAAATATTCTGATATCTATAAAACAAGCTGATGGGGATTTTTAATGAAACATTTTCTGAGTGTTCTCATAAGAATGAAATGCTTTTCTGCTCCAAGAATACATGCTTATTCCTCTCCCTGTTCTCCCATGGCATTCTGCCCTCTAATCTGTTTGAAGATATGTTTGAACATCAATCCCACAATCCCATTCCTTACCCCCAAACACACTGAATGGCTTTCTACTCAAGAAAGGGCAGGAAGTAAGTGCATTTCCCTTCATGTCTACAATGTTACTGTGCTCACAAAAGGTCATGATGAGACATTCATTCTTCACTGAATGAAGATTTGTCAACTGCACTTTGTTGCCACAGGCTGTTTGTCTTTTATGGTGGAATTCATACTTTCTTTTTAGGCTCAGATGTGGGAGGAGACTCTCTGAAGTGTTGTTCACTGAACTTAAAAGTTCAGGTGACTTGTCCAAGTGGAGGTCTTGGCCAACCAGGCCTGCAGTTCAAAGCAAGAACTCGAGGATGCTACAAGAAGCTTCTTGGGCTTGTATTTCCAGGGACACCAGGACCACCCCAAAGGTCTAGGAATTCCTAGTATTCTAGGAATACTCTTAATGATGCTTAGCAGGCCTGATGGTTCCATGGATTGAATTCAGGTATGCCCTAACTATTGTATGATCTCTTGGACCCTGGATCTTTACTTTACTCATATTTTAAGTCATAGTTTCTGCTCTTGAAGAATACATGATCTGATTAACTGTTAAACATTGGTGTGTAAATGAATGAAAGATTAAGAGGAATGTTAGCCGGCTGAGAACAAAACTTCAGTAACTGAATTCATGCAGATAAAATTGGACATAGTACAATAGTCATGAACAAAAACTTCTCAGTTATTATACTAGGCAACTGGTGTACATGTTTTACACATGAAGACGCTCAGTTCTCCCTAGAACATTGTTTACACTATTTTACAGACAAGAGAACTGGGTCCCCAGAGAGATTGGAAAGTTTCTCATCATAGGCCTGATTGGGTAGCTTTCTAAAAGGCATAGGGCAACTGCTAATTTCTATTTAAGAGAGAGAGAATTTATGATGCTTTCTTGAAGCTGTTGCATCAATTTAGACTCCTGCTCACCTGAGAAATTGTGAGGAGAAAAGAAATAAATATTGTAACAGCCCATCCAGTGCCAAAATACCACAGCATTAACCAAGCCAAGGCTTCCAAAATCAATATCTGGGCAAAATGGAGGAAGAAGAACCCTAAGTTGGCATCAAACATCTTCATAGCCTCTAATGACTTCCGTAATTCTTGAAAATCTTCCATCAACTGGGCCTGTGAAATAAATATTCAAAGAAGTTATTTACTTTAAGGGATAGGCACACAAACATACATCATAATGTACTGCATTAATTTTATATACTGCTTACTTTCCAGAAGAAAAATTTATTCATACACTTAATTGGGCAGTATTAAAAATAAGAAGCAGTGAACAAACAAAACCTTTTAAAAGGTTAGGGTGTTATTCTCTCTGGAGAAGAGAACAATTATTTGTTGACTATCCTCAGACTTAAGGAGTTTAAGATTTGTGCCTATTTTTACAAAATGTTTTGTGATTGCTGTCAGGCCCACATCTGGTTGTGTTCAGGGGGCCATGCAATGCTAGGGCACGAACCCACAGCTATGGCCCGGGTTCTACCTCTTGAGTCAGATCTTGGTAGCAGAATTTCTCATTTTTAGGTATTGTAGTGGCCAGTAAAGGGACACAATTCATTGCCTTTTAAATCATCTTCAGGATTTTCAGGTATTGGTAAATTTCCTGTTCTTCAGGGAACTTTGTTGTTTGCAAGGTTATGTACACTGTAATTAGTGGTATGGTTTGTAAAATGTTTTCTATATCACCAGCTTTTTATGTGTGCAAAGGGATCTTTAATAAATGATGATGTACACAGACAAACAGAATTCACTTTAATTATATCAAAGAATGACTGAACTGCTTAATGGATTGTGTGTGTGTGTGTTTGTGTGTGTGTGTGTTTTCTGTTCAACCAGAAACAGGCCAGAGTTTCTAAAGAGTTAAAGTGTATCTACTAATTGAAAGGGTCTTAGTCCTGTGTGAAGGTACCATGCTTGTGGGTATGTATGTGTATATACAATGCTAACATTGACTTCCAATCATTGAATTACAGCACCATATTGGAAAATTGATAGAAAATTTGGGAGAAAGAAAACTCAGTTTAATGACTAGAATGGACTTGAGACTAGGACAGTTGAAAAGTGACCAGAGTATAAGAATGAAAGGAGGAGTGTTCAGAATTAAGAAAAATTGAGAAATTTTTATCTATAAACATAATTCTTGAGGCCCAAATATTGCATTTCTTTCTTTCTTTTTCTTTTTTTTTTCTTTCTGGGTCACACCCGGCAATGCACAGGGTTACTCGTGGCTCATGGTACCTTCGCACAGGACTAAGAACCTTTCCATTAGTAGAAACACATTAATTCCTTAGGAAATCTGGCCTATTTCTGGTTGAATAGAAAAAAAAACATGATTCATTGAGCAGTTCAATCATTCTTTGATCTAATTAAAGTGAATTTTGTCTGTGTACATCTCAGGAATTACTCCTGGTGGTGCTCCGGGGGCCATATGGGATGCTGGGAATCGAAATCAGATCTGCCAAGTGCAAGACAAATACCCTCCCTGCTGTGCTGTTGCTCCAGCCCCAAAAGATTGCATTTCAAAATAGAGTGATACAAAATTTAAAGGATCAGTTGCTGGGAAAAGATATGGATGGACTTAAATCTCAAGTCTCCATGGGATTTGGAATTCTGATGGCCATAATGATTTTCAGTCTCTATGGTGCCACTGAGTCTGTTCATTTTTTGCAATCCAATACTGTACAAAGGAAGGATTTACCAACAGCCAGAAGAGTGACTGGTATGAAATCATTATCAAGTTTGTAACTTAGAATCATACTTTACGACATACTTTATGAAATTAAATATTTCTCACACAATAATTCTCCTATAAACATATACACACATATATGCATAACTACATCTATGCATAGATACATACATATATCCACATAGTGTAGCACTGTAGCACTGTCCACTGTAGCATTGTCCTCCCATTGTTCATGGATTTGCTCGAGCAGGCACCAGTAATGTCTCCATTGTGAGACTTGTTGTTACTGTTTTGGCATATCGAATACGTCATGGGTAGCTTGCCAGGCTTTGCCATGCGGGCAAGATACTCTCGGTAGCCTGCTGGGCTCTCCGAGAGAGATGGAGGAATCGAACCCGGGTCAGCCACGTGCAAGGCAAACACCCTACCCGCTGTGCTCCAGCCCACATAGTTGTACTAAAGAAAACTTATGGTGGAACTTCATCCTCACAGAACAATAAAAAAAAAAAAAGGCCCTCCCGTTGATCGTCGATTTGCTTGAGCGGGCCCAGTAACGTCTCCATTGAAGACTTTGTTGTTACTGTGTTTGGCATATCGAATACATCACGGGGAGCTTGCCAGGCTCTCCGAGAGGGGCGGAGGAATCGAACTCGGGTCGGCCATGTTGGCCGCTTGTAAGGCGAACGCCCTACCGCTGTGATATCTTTTAAATAATCAGTGGTGATCTTTGGTTTGATAGTTTTGAGACAAATTGGTGATATTCAGGAGTTACTCTTTGCTCTGTGCTCAAGGGCCCCTTCCAGTGCTGTTCAGTGAATCATGCAGTAGAATTGGCATGATTCAAATGAATCATGATTCATCAATTTGCGTACATCAATCATGGAATTTGCATGCCTCCTGCGCCTTCCGCATGCAAAGCATGTGCTCCAGCTCTTTGAGGTATACTCCTGATCTGAATGATTATCTGTCATTAGTGGGGCTTTCTTTTTCTTAGAGAAAGATATTAGGACCTCACAGATTTTCTGTCCTTTAGAAGACATAATATCAAGTAGTCAAGATATTTAAGAAGGTTGACCAGACAGGATCTGAAGAGACAGCACAGGGATTAAGATGCATCCAATTTTCATTCTATTCTTGGCACCACAGTGGTTCTCTGAGCATTGTCAGCTGTAGTTCTGAAGGGTCCTAGCACCACTGGGATAGAGAAGTACCACTTCCTCAGGCCTTTGCACTGAACTTTCAGCCCAGTTGTCCTAGTATAGCTGTGACTGGCTTCTTGACCCACCCTGGGTGCTGCTTGGGAATTCATCCCCCACCCCCACAAAAACAAAAGTGACTAGGAATTCTAATTCTTTACTCACCAGCTGAGAGACTTTCAGATAGTTTTTTCCCCTAAACAATATTTACCCCAAATATTAAAAGGACTATGATTAGGATATAGTCACATCTTTCATTAAACAGCTATTTACTACATTCCGACTCCATGTGTGATCTCGTGCAAATGAGTCCTAAGGACACAGGTATAATAAGGAGAAAATAGATATTCCCTGTTGTCATGGAATTGTGGGTAACAGAGAGCTTAGACATTAAACAAATAATTATAAGCAGTCACCAAAAAAAATTATACGTGTAGGAGCCTGGCATGAAGTAGGTGCTTGCAGATATGAAATTACTGTTTGGTGCAGGTCCAGGAACTTTATTTCTTTCATACTTTTGTTCCTTCATCATGATGTTTTAAAACCATCATAGATGTTTTGGAGTTCTGAGAATCTAAGCAGGATGACATTCTTTTGAGATATGTGGAATCTACAAATTCAGGCAAAGGGAGGCCTATTCAGGCATGATGTCTGGTTTCATATGAGCACTGTAGCATTGTAGCCCTGTCCTCCCATTGTTCATTGATTTGCTTGAGCGGGTACCAATTATGTCTCCATTGTGAGACTTGTTGTTACTATTTTTGGGATATCGAATACATCACGGGTAGCTTGCCAGGCTTTGCCATGTGGGCGGAATACTCTTGGTAGCTTGCTGGGCTCTCTGAGAGGAGCAGAGGAATAGAACCTGGGTCAGCCGCATGAAAGGCAAACACCCTACCCGCCATGCTATCGCTCTGGCTGACTAGACCCAAAATATACTCTGGTCCATCCCTCTACAAATTCTTGAGTCTCAGGCTTCACTCACATTTTTGTTTCTCTCTTGGCTGGGCTCCCCTGGGGCAAGCTCTCCAATGAGCAGGGGCTTAAGGTACAATTGTACCTTATCACTCTCCAGGTGCATGGCTCTGAAGACATCCTGCAACCAGAGAGAAATGTATAGAGACTTAGAAAAGACCCGGTTATGCACAGATTAGCCCCCTTTCTTACCTGACATATGAACATCTTGGCATCAGCCATGAAGTCTGAGGATCTGTTGCTTCTAGTTGCAGGTTGAAGCTTTAGGTTGACTGGTCAAAATTACCCTGGAGAACCATCTATGAAAGGATCACCCTGGAGATTTTACCCAATCCCCTGCTTCAGTCCGCATGTTCCATGCAGGCAGGTGATCCCTGAGCAATGGAAAAGATCTCTATGATTTATAGTGAGCACCTGATGGAATAGTTAATGTGAGTTTTTGGGCCATGATGAAACCTTATAGATCCAGGTGGAAATTGCACACTCTCTGGTGACAGAGAGTAGCAAGGCTAACCCTGTACATTACATCTTCCACCAGTCTTCCCCTCTCTCCTGTTTCTTGGCCAAGGACCAGGGGAATAGGGTCTTTTAACTGTGTTACTTGTAAAGAAAAGCAAGGTGAGTTCAGGGAGATTAAAGTTTTGGAGCATATGCTCTGCATTTGGGGGTCCTGGGTTTAATCTCTGATACCACATGAGCCTCCAAATACCACGCTAGGAGTGGGCCCTGAGCCAAGGATAGTTTCTGGGCAACACCAGGTATAGATTCCAAGCCAATATATCTCTATATCTTTAGACATCAGTTAACATTTGTTATGTAGCTTAAGACAAATGTGTACATGAATTTGAGGTCTAGACTCTTTGAGTTCTGAGTGGCCTAAACTAACACACTCAGGGACTACAAGATAGCACAGCAGATAAGGTGCTTGCCTTGCTTGCAGCCAACCTGGGTTCCATCCCCGACATCTCATATGGTCCCCTGAGCACTGTCAGGAGTTATTCTTGAAAGTAGAGCCAGGAGTAACCTCTGAGCATTGAGGAGTGTGGCCCCCAAACAAAATAAAACAAAACAGAAGCACACTATCACCAAAGAGCCTCATGACTGTTCCTATAAATGTATTTATAGTTATTGGGGGGTAAGAGGGAACTGTGACTGCCAGGTACACAAGAGTGACCAGTTGTATCTTTCTGTCTTAGGCACCCACTAGTAGCCTGCAACTCCAACTGGCTGTGAGAAGGAGCAGTGGCTTCTATACTTGACTTGAACTTGAGAGAAAGAGATATTATCTTCTCTTCCCTGGGAAGGCATTTCCCAGGATTCTTTGTGGAGGAAAATGCTGGGCTTCCTCTTATTATGGTGTTGAGCGAAGAGTAATTAGAAATGACATGTCACTGAGATTGTAGCTGGGCAGATACACAGAACCACTGACATGGGGTGTCATTGCATGAGGCTTTCAGAAAAGAGATCCTGGAGCAGGTTTCTCCATTGACAGCTTCCAGTGAAGGGGTTTCCCTTGACCAGCTGAGCAATTAGGGACAATAATGACATGTTCTTGCTTCTATTTTTTCTTTTCTAGTGGGGGAGTCATGATGACAACAGGAAAATCCACAAATTTATTTTTAATAGTAAGTAAATTAACTTGACTCTTATCCTTAACAACTCATCTTTTAGCAAATTCTAGGTGCCTATTCACTACCTGCCTTCAATATAAAAAGCCATCTACCTTCAATATAAAGATTTCAATTCTATATCCCCCATGTCTAATGATAATAAAATCTTTAGTTATCTTTGTGAATATAATGAATCCTCCATCCTCAAATCTCAGAGTAAATCTATCTTCGAAGAAGTACATACTAGACTACTTAGAAGGAGGTGCTTATACACAAAATCAGTTTATATTAGAATAGTGTAATTCAATTGTTCAGACTCACTTAACTATTTCTGCATTTATTGATACATTGATTCATTTGTATCCATTAGAACCAGTCTAAGGCTCTGTTGCCTATGCTGCTTCTGCACTCCTCCTCTGGCCCCTTTGGTCAAAGATGACCTATATGATTTCAGAAGTAAATTACATTTATCATATTTTTGTGGGGCCCCTTGGAGGGGAGCGGGTTGAGCTTTCTCCCCACGCTGACCAGGGCTCCGGCAGCCGAAGACCTCCAGGACCAGCCACCACCATGCTGAGACCACTCTCCGCACACCTGAGGGTACCGGTAGAGGAACAAAGGCAAGCGGGTCCCGGGGCTGAGATCTCCAAGCCTACTCGGATTGGGGCTGAGCATCCTCCACCCAGATCCTCCAAATTCCAGTAGGCGGGGTCACACCCACCACCTGGCCCCCTGGCGCCGTGTAATCCCATTAACAGCCAAGACTCAGAGACTATAAAACCCAGCTCCCGGAACCACGTGGCCACATTTGCGGCCACGCGACATCTTATTATGACATCTTATTATCTCATTCCTACTTTGGACAAACTGGCAGGCTACCGAATGTAACCTGCCCACACGGCAGAGTCTGGCAAACTCCCCGTGGTGTACCCAATATGCCAAATACCAGTAACAATGATGGGTCTCATTCTCCTAAAGAGCCTTGAATATAGCACTTTCTTAAAAATCTCAGGGCTAGGATGAAGGAGATGTTACTGGGGCCTGCTCGAGGCAATCGATGAATAACAGGATGGTCATGATTCATGATTCATAATATTTTTGTGATTCCAAAATTTAGCTTTCCTAAAGCAGGAAGAATCATCTGGCAACTGCATTTTTCAGGGAGTCACATCCTGAAAACACATTCTGCTGGTTGTTTAGGAGCAGATGCAGATAGAAGAATTCACAAGGCATCCAAATCAGAGAGCAAAGGCCCAAATCAGAGAGCAAAGGCAAGCTTCTGTAATAACAGCTTGTTCTGAGCATCATAAGAACGGGATACCCTGGCTTCCCAGGTCCATGCTGGAGCAGCAAACACTTAAGCTCCACAGAGTATTCCAGCGTGGCAGGCCTTGGCCTGCTCTGTGGCACTCTAGTCATTGTCGTGATGGACAGCATGACAAAGGAGCTTGGGCACTCTCTTGGAATCTTTGAATGAGCATAATTTCCTAATACAGCCCAGAAACGAGGTGGTGAAATCATCTTTTGAAAAACTTGCAAAAACTGGATCCTGCTATCAACATTCCTGGACATTTATATAACTGTTAGAGAAAGGTGAAAAGATAAAATGAAGCAGAGAAGAGACGGTGCCAAACCTGACTGAGTGTACTCTATTTGAAAGGTGTTCTGTGGATTAGTTCATAAGTCTCACTTTGGTTCTTGGCGGTTCCATCATCTCTGTAGGAAAGATAAGATAGCTGGTCTCTTTTTCAACCTGTTCATCTTTCACTTTCTAATATTATAGTATAAAATACCATCTAGTTACTTCTGCCAGACATCCATAAGTCAGTTTATTCTCCTCTATCCCTTTTGTCATTTGTTCATCAAATATCGAAAATAATAAATTCTAGATTCCTAGAAACCCATCCACTCTTCTCCCCTGTCTTGTTCTGGCCTTTGCTATGTTTCCTAGACTCTTTTCATTTTGAAAGAAATGAAAAACAGGCTGACAAGCAGCCTCTCTTCTTTGACCTTTGTCGTCTGTCAGTACTTCCACCTTGAACAATCAAGCAAATTAGAATCACATAACTTAATAAAAATTGATAATCTTGGAAAGATGCAATTCTATAACTTTTCTTTCACCAACAGCTGAGAAATCCTGGTTAGTTTTGTTGTCCTGGTTGCAGTGGAAGACAGAGGGAAGTTTTGCCAGAGAAATGTCATCATGTGTAGAGGAAGGAGAGGAAGACAACTCTTCTTAGCTTAGTGTTCAAAGTCTTTTCTCCTCTTCTTCCTCCTTGGTCCTCTTTCTGTTCCTTCTCTCCTTCACTTATGTCCACGACAGTCACCGGCACTAATTGAGCACATACTATTTGACAATAACATGCTAAGCAAAGGAAGTGGCTACGTGGGCATGCCAGTTCTGGCTTTCTCATGACACAAATCACATCTGTGCCCAACTTGTGCACATCCTGTCTGAGCATATCTTCTCTTTCCTTTGTTCTTGACTTCCCTCTGTGGGCAACAACTCTTCCCATACAGCTCTTCGGTAGGGAAACACAACTCTGTCTCCACCACACTGAAGTCCCCCAAATAACTGAAAAACACTTTGCTATATTTCCTCTAAATTTTTATCATCTTTCGTCTGCTACATTGATTGGCTTCTGACTGTCATAGTAAAGATGTTAAATGCCTCCGTGTACCTTTGAGAGTGCAGTGCTCAGAAAATAGGAATGACTGGGCTGACCAACACACAAGATAATAACAGCTTTCTTTGTTCTCAAGATGTTGCTCATATGCACGTATCACACGTTGGCATTTCCTCCTTTTGTGGAGCTCCACACACAGTTGCCTTTTGAAAAATTGTCCTGCAGCTATTCAGGATTGTGTCTTATCAGATGATATGATCTATTGGTATTATTTGCTGTCATTAAGTGCTTTGCAATCCTCATTTTGAAATTGTAAAATAACTCATCACATGTTGTAATCTATATAATCGGTTTGTCTTGTTGGATGCACAGGTGATTTCTGGCTTCTCTTGGGTGAATTCTTCCAAATGAGCAGTGCTGAGTCTGGACTCTTGTTACTCACATTGTGTGTTACTTACAGTCTTAAATCTGATAGTTTGAGAGCAATCAGATCATCAAGGCACTGATGTGTTAATTTTGTATTATGGACTTAATTTTTTTCCTTAGTTAAGTTCCTTGGGGGAAAGTTACAACCCATCTCAGAAGAAGTAATTAATAATACAGGGTGGTATTTTTTTAGTATTTAAGATAATCACTTGATCACTTGATCACTTGACATCCTGTTACTCATCAATTTGCTCGGGCAGGCGCCAGTAACGTCTCCATTCGTCCCTGTCGCATGCTAGTGTAGTCCAAAGATAATCACCAAAGGGAATGCTTTGGTTTACCTCCACCAACTTTCACAATAGCACTAAGATGACTAACATGAAGGTATTATTATCCTTACTTCCTCAGTGAGGGAACCAAGGCTCAGGAGCTTTATCAATCTTCCCAGGACATTCCTG